TACGATGAAGCGGAGAAGGCTAAAGCTGCTGCAATGGCAGCTGCAGCAGCAGAAACGGCTCAAAGAGTAAGAACATGTTATCATTTCTTTTGATAATGTTGCTGCTGTTCATTAGGTTATATGTATGTTTGTAACAGTTGTGCCTCAGTCTCTGCAGGGGATTAGTTCCAGGAGCTCCTGTGAATACCAAATTTCGGATGTTCAAGTCCCTTTTGTAAAATGGCATAGTATTTCCATGTAACCTGCACACACCTTCCCATATATTTTATTTTTTCAATTTATTTTTTCCATGAATGAAAGACAAAGAGAAACAGAAAGATATCACCCCAACAGAGTCCCAGTGTTATGACCCATCTCCAGCTCCAGCCAACCCTGGATCATGGGCATACACGTGCCCACTGCACCCAGGGAGGACTCCAGATGGGAACCTGGAGACTTTCCATGTGGATCAACCTTACAGAGCCTTATTCCACAGCTGTGCCACAGCGGCCCTCCTGTATGTTTTATATTATCTCTTGATTAGATGTACCTAATGTTAGCATTAGATACAGGTGACAAGTGTATAGGTAAATTTCTTCAGCATCTCCTTTATTATTCTTTTATTTTTGAATTTGCCAGAAGTCATGTGTACTCACAAGAGAGACAGGAAGAAAGAAAGGGGAATGAGAAAGCCACATCACAGTTACTTCTCTTCCATCTCTCCTGCCCTTCAGGATTTTGGGCATGTATGCACACATGTCCAGTGTATCTCCTTCTTCTTTTTTTTTTTTAAATGATTTATTTTAATTTTACTTATTCCTCCTTCATTTATTTTACTTTGACCAGAGAGAGACACAAAAAGAGAGAGACACAGAGAGAGAGAGGGAAAGTGAAAAAGGAATCCACCAGGTCTGGGACTTGAACTATGGTCAGCCATGTGGGAGGGTCCAGTGCCTTAATAACCATACCACCTGCTGGCCCCTGTCCAATGTATCTTCTAAGCCACCAAGTCTGGGATTTGAACTGTGTAGCTGACCATGTGGGGTTCAGCTGCCTCTATTACTATGGTGTACTGGCCAACCCAGCATCTCTCTTGTAGGGAGCCACGTCTTCCCCCATTTCATAACAGTGAGTGTCTCTGGACTTTACCCATGGTAAATTTAATCCATGGAAACAGAACCATAGAAATGGAGGGCCCCTGTAATATCACAGGTAGTTCTCTGTGTATCAGAGTCTGTGTGTGGATAGTTTTTTGTTTTTATTATTTTTTAAATATTTACAGTTTATGTGTGTTACCATTTTCAGTGAAATTATACTCTCCTAGTTAAATTCACCTTCCCTGTTCCTTGGCCTCCTCATTTGTGTTGATCTTCTCCTTCATCATGTTTCAGCTGTGGTCAGTCGTCTTGGACCTTACCTCCACTATCACATTGATTGCTTCCTAAATTGTGAAGGTGTCTTACATGCTAATCATCACCTCTCTCCTTTTAGCTCTCACTCTCGTTACCACCACGTCTACAGTTTTTCTCTTTCATTGGATCTCAAGTCTGTTGAACTCTTCACTGTCCCTTGACTTATTTCCCTCTTTAACATAGTTTAGATTTCATCTTCTGTCACTAAATCACGAGTCATCTTTTTATATATTTTTTTAAATTTTTTTTTTTTGAGAGATTTTCACTATAGGGCGCGTGCGGTCGCCAGACAGACAAAGAGACATAGAGACAGAAAGCGAGAAATTACCCCCCAGGGGAGATGGTCACGCCACAATCCCTTCTCCTCTCGGGATCTTGGGCACGCATGCACACGCGCCCGGCGTGAGTTTTAAGCCACCGGGTCCAGGAAGCGAACCGCAGTCGACTACATGGGAGTCCAGCGACATAGCCATTATGCTAACTGCTGGTTCCCTCCTCTTTATATTTTATATATTAGCATAGCTTGTTTAGTGAATAAGAAAGAACTCATGGTAGGCTAAAAAAGCACTGAGAAATTAGTTACAAGGCCTTCAGATTGTTTTTATCAACTAATTGTTTTTACTCTTTTTTTTAAAAAAGAGAGATTGTTCCTATAATGTGTGTGTACTTCCTGGAGAGAGAGAGAGAGAGTGAGAGAGAGAGCGCAAGAAATCACACCCCACCCCCCCTCGGGGAATGGCCACACCATAGTCCCTTCTTTTATATTCTCTCAGGATTTGGGCACGTGTGTGCATGTGTACCTAGTGTAAGTTTTAAACTGCCAGGTCTGGGACTTGAACCGCTATCTACTACTTGAGAGTCTAGTGATGTAACTGTTACACCATCTGCTGGTCCTGTTGTTTTTTCCCCTGTAATATACCCAATCCTAGAATTCTAGAGGGATGATGGAGAATTTTTACAAGTTCTTTCTACTTCATCTTCCTGTCTTAATAGAGAGAGAATCAGTGAGTTATATGTTTGTTATCATTTGTTATTCTGGTAAAAAAAAAAAAAATTGCAGTCCCAGTAACAGAGTAAGTAAAATATATGTGTACTGCTCTATGGCCAAATAGAAGGTGGACATTGTTTATATTTTAGTGGGGCTGCAAGCAGGGCTATAATTTGTTGCCTTTTTTTCATTGCTTCAGACTTTAGAGCTGTCATTTCAGATCCCTAGATTTATCCCATTTTGTTGAAAACAAAACAAAACAAAACAAAAGAACTTCACTCAGGAAGCTGTAGAATAAGGGGAGCCAAGGGAGGGAGATGTACTTTCATATGTAACATTTCCCCTTGCCATGAAAGCCAGAGCTCAGCAAGGAGATTGTCTTGAGAGGTGAGCCTGTTTCCCTGGTGGGTTTCTTTCATCAGCCATCCCTTTCCACACTTGCTCCCAGTCCTGTCCTCCAGCACACACAGAGTTAAACTTAACCTGAATAGGAACCCCACAATCATTTATCACCTGCTTATTTATTTACTTTTTTACTTCTTTCTTTTTTTGAGAGAAATTTTTGCTATAGGGTGCTTGTGTTCATGGGGGAGACAGGGAGAGACAGAGAAAGAGACAGAAAGTGAGAAACCAGCCCCCCTGGGGGGGAGGATGCTTGGCTATGCTGCAATTCCTTTTCCTCCATCCTCCTCTCAGGATTTTGGGCATGCATGCACATGTGCCCAGTGTGAGGTTTATGCCACCAGGTCTGGGACTTGAACCACGGTCGATTACATGGGAGTTCAGCCACAGAACCATTGCCTCATCTGCTGGTTCTATTATTTATTTATTTCAAGGAGGAGAAGAGAGACAGTTTTTGACAGGATCCTGCCACGCCATTATCCTCCTCCAGCCTAGCAGTTAGCTAGGATTATAGGTGTCCGCTGCTATATCTGGCCTGTTTAGGTTGGTCCAGGAAGCAATCCTTGGCCTCCTTTGTATACTCAGCCTCATGTAGCAGTGCCCTACTACTAGTGTCTCTGTGGCTTGGTCACCAAGTTTGTATTTTATCCCTTTTCCTTTGCAGAAGGGAAAGTAAATCTTAAGACTGACAAAGGGCTAGTTAGTGGCATGGTGGTTAAAGTATCTGGATCCCACATGGCTGACTGCACAGTTCAAGCCTTGGACCCTGCAGCTTTACAAAGTGTCTTGAGTATATGTGTGTGTGCATGCCCAAAATCCTGTATGGAGAAATGAAAGAGAAGAGATTATTCCCCATGGAAGGACCACCTTTTCACTTTACCTCTCTTTCTTTCTCTCTTTGGCTAGTGCACATGCCCTCTGATAAATCAGAAAAAAAGAAAGACTGTATAAATATACCTCAGTCATTTGAGGTTTTTGATGCTGTGGGGGGAGAATCATGGAGGAGAAGGACAGATCCATAAACTGTGGTGTTTCTGTCACATCACCACTAGGTTGCTAAACACATGCACCTCTCCGTGAAGGAGATTGGTAGTAACTCCTTTTCTCAGGGGATGTCTCTGGAGATCCTGGCAGTGACAAAAGTTGTTAAAAAGTACTGTGAACTGTGAGTCCTCTAGTGTCATAACCTCCATGTGATAGAATTGTACAAGAAAATAGGAGGCGTTAAGTCTTGCTATCTATGCTTTGAGAAAAGTTTAAAGATAGTTTTAGTGTTTTTTGAGGAAAAAGTCTCAAGTATTACTATTTCATTCCTTCACTGACATCATTTCCAGTTCCTTATTTTAGGAAATAAGTAATCCTTAGCCCTGGTTACAAAATATCTATAAAGAAAAGTTTCCTGTTTTTATCTGCTTCTGATATTGTTAACACCAACTTGTGGGCATTGTGGAAAATGTCATAGAAAGCAAAGCAGAACTGTACACATTAGACTTAGGTCTTTATAAAACAAATCTTTTAAATTCATCTGTGCTTTTTTAACCCAAGATTCTAGCACTCTCTTTCTGCAAAGTCTGAATGTTAGTATAGGAGGTTCCATACCTGATTCAGATAAAAAACAAAACAAAAACAAAAACAAAAAACTAATCAGTACTCGAAAACACAAGAGTAGATCTTAAGTGTGTTCACCACACACAAAAAGATACAAGAGGTATGCATGTAATAGTGAAGTGTGCATACTGCTAATTGGCTTTAGCTAAACTACACAATACAGAACTTCATGGTGTATATGTTTATATATATTACTTATTTATTTATCTGTCTATATACTTTTTATTTGTTAGTTCAAAGAAAACTTTAAAAAAAGCTTGATGTGATTCACATTTAAGTGCATTAAATTGTAAATGAGTCTCAGCTGGGTGAACTGAAAGCTTATTTCTTAAATCACCTTTCATTTGGAGAATATAGGTAGTCAGGAGACTTTGAAATGATACTATTCTCTATTTCCTATTTCTGTTGTATGGAAGTGCATGTATATTATGGAATGATTAGTTAGATTTATGAAAATAACCTCAGGGAGGACGCAGGTGTGACTGGGAGGGTGGGCTGTGACTTCAGAATCTCCCCAGCCCTGTTGGTGTAGCATCCCCAGCTGTTGCCATGGCCACCTCCAGGCTGGTGCCCATCTAGCAGTGTGAGAGCACTACAAACCCGGAGAACTGCTTTGGTGTCTGGTATAATGCTGACTTCAAGCCCAGCTGGCAGGTGCTGCAAGATGCTGGCTGTGA